GGGAGGGAGGGAGGGAAGGAGGGAGGGAGGGAAGGAGGGAGGGAGGGAAGGAGGGAAGGAGGGAGGGAAGGAGGGAGGGAAGGAGGGAGGGAGACTCTTGAGAGGAGAGTTTTCCCTTCTCTCCAGTTAATTTCTAATTTCTGCATCCATGTTGCCTTTTCCTCTAGGAGGAAGCGCTTTATCTTTGCCCACTGACACTTTGACATCTGCCTCTTCCACTCCCGCGAGTCACTTGATCCATGCTCTCTCTGGTGTGAAGTAACAACGCACACCTCACGTTCTTAAGTGCAGCATGGAGCTCACCACCAGCTCACATACACGCTACAAAGCCCCCGCTTTGTGTTGGGGCAGTGTGAGCTCTGCCACGCGGGGAAGGCGGGAGTCCTCTCTGTAAGGAACATTGCGGAAGGCACGAGGGAGGAGGTGAGAGCTGGAAACACCGCTCACCATAAAGCACACTGTGAACGAGGCCAAGAGGACAGATAGACAATGGGGACAGGTGGATCCTACAGCAGTGGTTCTCAACCTTCCTAAGGCTGCGGCCCTTTAACACAGTTCCTCATGTTGTGGTGACCCCCAACCATAAAATCACTTGGTTGTTACGTCATAACTGTAATTTTGCTTCTGTTATGAGTTGCGATGTAGATATCTGCTGTGCAGGATCTCTGCTATGTGACTCCCCGGTTGAGATTCACTGTGTGAGTTATGTGGGGTGCAGCCCACAAGGACCTCTTTAGGGAAAGCAGTGACAACAAGTCAAGCTGGCAAGTGGTCTGTTGTTTCAGGTCAAGATCTGCCCCTAGAGAGTCAGGAGGGACCAGGGTCAAGGTGGCTGTGCAGATGCCATGTGTCTGCTTTGACCAGGACAACATTCTCACTTGTCCTAGTGCCTCTATTCTATTATTGCTAATGCTTTCATCTCTCTGAAAAACAGATTCTGCTTCAAACAGGCAGTGAGTTACAAGAATAAGCTGACATTACTTCATCGCTACCATAACGTAGCGATTTTCTTCTACCCTAAAAGAATTATTTCCATAATAACCCGTGCTTAGTGATGACATGTAATTTTCTTGCCATTTCATGCTAATAGGACCAAGCAGGAATTTTTATGATATGATTTGAAATTTCTAAAAGACCCAAATCCCCAAATCTCTCCTGTAGAAATACTTGACGTAAGTCTCATTCTCAGACTCCTGGAGGAAGGATCACCATTTCAGACTGAGGCAGAGAATTTAGCTCTTGGGAGTAGGCCTGAGGCAGTGATCTCTACAGGAGCAGGTCCAATGGAGCAACCACTGAGGGAGATCAAGCAGATACAAATCAGAAAAGAAGTCAGACTCTCACTATTTGCTGATGATATGATAGTTTACATAAGTAACCCTGAAAATTCTACCAAGGAACTTTTACAACTCATAAACACTTTTAGTAATCTAGCAGGATACAAGATTAACTAAAAAAAAAAAAAAAACAAAAAATCAGTAGCCATCCTTTATACAGATGATAAATGGGCTGAGAAAGAAATCAAAGAAACATCACCCTCCACAGTAGCCACAAATAACATAAAATACCTTGGAGTGACTCTAACCAAACAAGTGGAAGACTTGTATAACAAGAACTTTAAATCTTTGAAGAATGAAATTGAAGAGGACACCAGAAAATGGAAAGATCTCCCGTGTTCTTGGGTAGGTAGAATTAACATAGTAAAAATAGCAATCTTACCAAAAGCAATCTACAGATTCAAAGCAATACCCATCAAAAACCCAGTAAAATTCTTCACAGACTTCAAAAGAACAATAGTCAACTTCATATGGAAAAGCAAAAAACCCAGGGTAGCCAAAACAATCCTGTACAATAAAGGAATTTCTGGAGGCCTCACTATCCCTGACTTCAAACTCTACTACAGAACTACAGTACTGAAAGAGGCCTGGTACTGGCATAAGAACAGACAGGAGGACCAATGGAACCTAATATATCAGTTCATACACCTACAAACACCTGACTCTTGACAAAGAAGCAAAAAATATAAAATGGAAAAAAAAGTATATTCAACAAATGGTACTGGTGTAACTGGGTATCAACATGTAGAAAAATGAAAATAGATTTATGTCTATCACCATGCACAAATTCAAGTCCAAATGGATCAAAGACCTCAACATAAAGCCAGCCACACTGAACCTCATAGAAGAGAAAGTGGGAAGTATACTTGAACGCATTAGCACATGAGACCACTTCCTAACCCCAGAAGCACAGACACTGAGAGAAACAATAAATTGAACCTCCTGAAACTGAAAAGCTTCTGTAAAGCAAAGGACATGGTCAACAAGACAAACGACAGCTTACAGAGTGGGAAAAGATCTTCACTAACCCCACATCAGACAGAGGTATGATCTCCAAAATATACAAAGAACACAAGAAATGGGTCATCAAAAGAACAAATAATCCAATAAAAAATGGAGTAAAGACCTAAATAGTGAACTCTCAACAAAAGAATCTAAAATGACTGAAAGACACTTACAGAAATGTTCAACATCTTTAGCCATCAGAGAAATGCAAATCAAAACAACTCTGAGATTCTATCTTACACCTGTTAAGAATGGCCAAGATCAAAAATACTGATGACAACTTATGCTGGAGAGATTGTGGGGAAAAGGGAACACTTCTGCATTGCTGGTGGGAATGCAAGCTGGTACAGCCCCTTTGAATGTCAGTGTGGTAATTTCTCAGAAAATTTAAGAAACAACCTTCCTCAAGACCCAGTAATACCACTTTTGGGTATATAGCCAAAGGATGCTCAATTGTGCCACAAGGACATGTGTGCTCAACTATGTTCATAGCAGCTTTGTTCATCATAGCCAGAATCTGGAAACACCTGTGTCCCTCAACTGAAGAATAGATAAGGAAAATGTGACACATTTACACAATGGAGTACTACACAGCAGAGAAAAATAATGATATCTTAAAATTTTTGGGCAAATGGATGAATCTAGAAAACATCATATTGAGTGAGGTAACTCAGACTCAGAAACACAATTATCATATGTACTCATAAGTGGTTTTTAAACATAAAGCAACAAAACCCACCAGCCTATAATTTACAATTCCAGAAAACCTAGACAACAAGAGGACCCTAAGAGAGACATACATGGATCTAATCTACATGAGAAGTAGAAAAGACAAGATCTCCTGAGTGAATTGGGAGCATGGGGTTCATGGGAGAGGGTAGAAGGAGAGGGAAGAAGGGAGGGGAGCATAGAAAAATATATAGCTCAATAAAAAAAAAAAACACTTGACATTCAGTAATAGCAGTAATAACCAAGATGATTGCCAACACCCAGTGCTCAGCAGGTGTCTATCAGTTCCCATGTCATTAATGTCGCTTACAGAGTGGTTTAATTTTGGAAGTTACCCAAGGATAGGGATGTTGTCCCCACTTTTTAGGGAATCTGAGGCTTGAGGGGTCACTCATTTCCCAAAGTGACAGAACCGGTGTCGGATGCAGTGGAGCCTGATCTGCGGTGGCTGTCCTTCAGATTCTCGAGCAGGGAGAGAAAAGCTGTGGCTTTAACCTTCCCACTTCCGCCTCGGCCTGTGGTCATAGCTTCTGCAGCGGGGAAGTGGCTCTCAGGCATCTTTCTCTCCTTAATTTGTCAAAGTTGGAACTAACTAATGGCTCATTGTGATGAAATACCAATGAGCCAATTTTTCCATTCATTCCTCTAGCAGAGTAAATAAGTATTTATGGAAAAAATAGAGAGCCTTAAGCAAAACGTGACTGAGGGATTAAGCTGAGAAAATAGAGAAAAATAATGCCAAGAAGTGATCCATGCAATTCTGCTGGACCTGTAAAATCAAACCGTCAACCAAAATGTGGGAGAGTGAGATGGAGTGTGTATTCGTGAAACCATGAAATGTGAAGGAAAAGGCAATTGTGCAATCCAAGTGTGGGCAAGCCCTGGGGTAGCAGCACCAGGGAAGGACTGCAGGATGCTGCCTCTGCTCTCCTGGCTATGGGGATGGAAAAGCAATTGAACAAGTATGCCATTATTGCTGCTACTGCTGCTGCTATGTTTATTCTGTAAGCAATCACATGACCAACACATTCCCTGGACTGAGTCTCAGAGAAGCACAGAAGCCCACAGACAAACCCAAATTCTCAGGGAGAGCATACACAGAGAACCCCCAGGTTTGGTGTGGCCCTTAGCCAGGACTGGGTGTTTCTTGGATGCCACCTCTTATATTTGTCTTCCTTGTTGTATTTTATTTTGGAGACATTATGTAGACCATGCTTGCCTCATATTTAGAGAGGTTCTCCCGCCTCTGCCTCCTGAGAGCTGGGATTAAAGGTGTGTGTCCACTTTCCCCTCATTTTATAGGATTTAACTGGCTGTTTGTAGCTCTTTGTCTAGGGCTGAGGCCCCAGGAGATTCCCCTGTCCTCATAAGCATGTTTATTGTGCCTTCCAAGTTCAGGTCTTGTTGAGGCTGTCATGTGGGTGAGATTTCATGGGTGTGGCTTCTCTGACATTTCCAGGAGGTGCAACTTCACACAAAATCCTTGTTCCTCTCGCTCTTACAGTCTTTCTGCCTCTCTTCCACCATGATTTTTGAGCCTTAGGTACAGTTGTATTGTAGATATATTAGTTGTGGTGTGGGCTGGGCCCTTAAATCATTCATATATATATATGAATATATATATATATATATGCAATAACATTAAAGAAATAGAGACCATGAATTTGAGAGAGCAAGGTACCATTGCATGGGAATGGTTGGAAAAGGGGAGAGGAGAATGGTATAATTATATTTTATTTCAAAGAAGTTTCTAAAAGGATTTGAAGAGAGAAAATTTGCTGATAATGGAATTATGAAAATAATGGAAGCCAGTGGCTATAGTGTTTATACCCTTCACTCTTCCAGGGACAGCACCTCACCCAGACGATATCTTGGAAGCGAAGATAGAGTCATCCACCCTTAGAGATTCATTGTGGGGCCCCTACACTCTTGACTGCCAACACACATCACCAGCATTTAGTAAATGGGAGTGCTAAAGCTTAAAGAAACCAACTATTTGTCTTCTAGCTTAACTCTGTGGTTACTGTATCACCAGTAATATAACTTTTGATTTTTGGCCATGAAAATCAATATTGACTCTGTGTTCTGGAGTTTCTTTATTGATGTTAGGTATGGATAGAGACTGGTAAGTAACTCACCACTAGTCACTGGCTTCCTCTCAGACACACATTATAGCAGCCAAAGAATAACAGACACAAGATGCTGCAAGAGCAGAGAGTCCAGCTGAGAAGGGGAAATTCGATGTACCAGAAACCTAAGGAGACAAGGCATTTGCCCTCCATTGGAGGAAGCCATTGTGCTGGGGAGGAAAGATTGCAGCCTTGCGTGTGAGACCAAGCCCGTTCCTCACTTCCCCATATGACTCTGGGTGAGAAGAAGGTTGGAGCTGTAACACAGATGGGTTCAACCTGCTGTGTCCGTGGGGATACTCGACTTTTAGCGTGCGGATTCAGTAGATAGTCCTGCACAGTTGGTAATCAAATCGCTTGCCCACAAAGCTACATTGATCTCCTTATATGAGAAG